GGGGGGGGGGGCCATTGTTTGTGTAGGTGTGCGCAGCCACAAACGTGGATGGGTTTCGCTAGCACACTCTGCAACGAAGGACGCTGGGACACGAATGCATTCTCAAGGTAATGCCTTGACCGAGGACTTGCCTACTTGACAACGAACTTTTGCAGTCGAGAATCCTCGAACAAGCAGCTTGGGTCTGCTGTCTTCTGCCATGTAGCAGCCTTCGCCTGCAGCCGATACAAGGGGGCGAAGCCGGATCCTAGAACTGATCTCTACAGGGGTCGGCCCTTTCGACGCCCTGTTTCAAGAAAGGAAAAGGAATCTGTATGAATGGATCGTCCAGTCTAGCAGTCGGACTGCTGAGTTCCAATGTACAACCCTCTCTTGCATGGCGAGTCGTTGGCATGTTTAGCGAAAACGTTCTCCGTGCAGGTTTGCTTCCAATGCGGCTTGGTTTCGAAGGAATGCGCGAAGGCCAGTGAAGGCATCATACCAGGATTCCTCTTCCCACGGTGCTGGACAATATAGAACCGGTGAATCCTCGCGTACAGACGGCAGCTTAACCTCTGACGAATTCGATCAATCCCACAAACTTGCCACAAACCTGCAACTAACTGCATGACCAAGCAGCTGCCGTCCAGTTCTGATTGTTATTCAAGAAAATCCACACTGGATGCTTGCCTCGCACGGAGCTGACACGGCCCAACGACAAGGCATGGAGCTGCAAACAGTTGTGGGAGGCAAGCGCATAGAAAATTGTCCAAGAAAGGCGGCAGGGCCTGACAATGGAGAGCTAAAATCGCTTTTGTAGTGCCAAAGCTGTTCTCCCAAAACTTCTCCTTCAAATGTTCAAGCTGCAGTACAGCTTGAACAAATGAAGAAGGACCCACCATTTCCAGTAGCAGATTCATGGCATCGTAGTTCAGGCGGTTCGGACGCTTGAGCTTTGCGGTGGCCTGGGTGTAAAACCCAATGGAACATACCTGAGGACCTTTTGAGGATGTTGTTCTCGTCCCGCATTAACAGCTTGGGGCCCCAGGGTCTGAAGCTCACCAGCCCTGTCGGATGACCCGACCGGGGCTGCACTGGCGGTCTGCGCAGTGCCGAGCAGGTTACAACGTGTCCTGTCAAAACAAGCCAGCAGTGAGCCGGAAGGTGTTCTCCGTTAAGAGCTCGTCACAGTTCCGTGGTTCCTTTATCGTCCATGCCCGACACCTGAAACGTATGTATCGACGAGTCATGCCCAACATGCCCCAAACTACTGCAGCATCAGCCTGTTTTAACTTGTAGAAGGCATGGCACCTCGATGCACCTCGTTTTGCCACCCGGCCGCTGACAAGTCAACGGCAAGTCATGCATGGGACAGCCTCCATTGGTGGGCCACCGCTTCAAGATGAGGTGGTTGTACCAGACGCTGACCAACTCCTGCACCAAATTCCAAGCTTGCTCTAAGCGGCTCCCAAGCTGTAAAATAAGCAGAGTCAAAGGACAGCTCACGTGAGCTGAAGGAGCAGGGCGGCGGCGAATCTGAAAGCACACCAGAAGGGAAGATAACGGAAGTAAACATATGTAAACATGGAGTGGCGCCAACAGCGAGCTGTTCTTTGCACTGGCCGACATCCGAGAGCTTGCATCAGCAGCTAAGGGGCCAAGGTTTAACCACGGCCACCACAAAGAGTGTGTGATTTGGAGTCTACGAGTTTTCGATAGGTCACCCCTGCACTTATGACGTTCGGGCCCGCTTGTCCTGTTCCCCATCTGAGAAGCCATATTTCTTGCGCAGATCATTCCTTCGCAGGCTGCGTGAGCAATCGTCTCATAAATACGTATAAATACTACACCCATTAACTCATGCATGACAACGAAGCCAAGAGTTCAAGAACACGTCTGGAGTCAAGTGCCCGCCTTCGCGACCCCTGATATACCCCGAAGCCCCAGCAAAACTACGTAATGTGATTTCATGGGCTCATGAACGTTGCGAAACGGTGTGCACGCCGGCCTCGTCAGCTGCCAAGATAGCACCATTAAATCAGGATTTTATTGTTTCACAAGCACACCCCAAGCTAGTCCCAGACACAAGCCTGAATCCAACTAAATCGAACATCATTTTCCCCAAGAGCCGGCAGGCTAGAAAACCATCACATCTGCATTCAGTAGCCTCCCAAGACCGCCCAGCGGTCCACACATCAGGGCCTTTTTGTTTTTCTGTGCAGGATTGCACAAGCCCTCGGTCTACGAAGGTCAGGTCACAACCCATGCGAAGCCAAAGTTTGCAGAGGTATCATGAAAGTGATTCAAGATTGATTCCAGGCTTGGGGCTGAGGACTGTGAGTGGGGCCTGCTTGTGGAGCGAGTTTTTTGCAGGGGGCCTACCAAACGAGCCTGTTGATATTCTACCAAGGATGCCACAAGCAATGGCTCCATGAATCAAGTGGGGAATCAAGTAACATGGGTGTCAAGAATTGAAAACATTTCGTGTGACAGCTGTCTCAGGAAGGTTCAAGATAGGTCTAGAGGGAACAACGAAAACAAGAGAGAGCGCGTTGTTGCCACGACCGCAAAAAGGAATCCACACCATAACAAGAAATATTGACACCAGGACAGAAAAAAACAACTGTACCACGACAGCGCATGCAAACCTCACCAGGACGAGGCATGACAACCTCGCCACTCGCCACGACAGTGCATGAAACCTCTCCACGACAAGGCATGAACACCTCACCACGACAAGGCATCAGCAGCAGCAGCAGCAGGACATATCAGCAGCAGCAGGACATATCAGCTGGTCTTTCGGTGTGGATGCCTCTGAAATGCTCTTTCGGGGGGAGAGGGAGGGAGGACGCTCGGGAATCGCCATTTTGCCATTTTCAGAGCCTAAATATCCTCCAACATGGATTCCCCTGCGTGTGGTGGTGGAGGGGGGTTCGTGGGAATCACCAGTTTACCGTTGTCACAGATGGAATCATGATTCCCCCGCGTGTGGGGGGGCGGGGGGCCACGCGCGGGAGTCACCATTCTATGCTGCCATTTTCATTTCACAGCCTAAATCCTCCAAAATGGTGATTCCCCTACGTGTGGTGGTGGGGAGGGGGTGCACGCGCGGGAATCACCATTTTGCCATTTTCAGAGCCTAAATTTTCCAAAATAGCTGATTCCCCCGCGTGTGGTGGGAGTGTCGAAAGGGGACACGCGGGAATCACCATTTTGTAGGATTTAGGCTCTGAAAACGGCAAAATCATGATTCCGCGCGTCCCCATTAGGGGATTTAGGTTCTGAAAATTGTAACGTTTTGCAGGGCTTATTGTTTAAATTATAGTTCAAAATGGTGATTCCCGCGCGTGCACCCCCTCCCCACCACCACACGCGAATCACCATTTTGGAGGATTTAGTCTCTGAAGATGGCAAAATCATGATTCCCGCGCCTCCCCCCTTAGGGGATTTAGGTTCTGAAAATTGCAATATGGTGATTCCCGTGCGTGCACCCCCTCCCCACCACCACACGCGGGGGAATCACCATTTTGGAGGATTTAGGTTGTGCAAACGATAAAGTGGTGATTCCCGCGCGTCCTCGTCCGACACGCGGTGGAGGGCAATTTCTTTTTTGGACATTCCCCCATGCCCCCTCTTCCGAACACGTGGGGTAATCACCGTTTTGCAAGATTTTTGCATTTTGTGCCATAAAAGTGCTAAATGGTGATTCCCGCGGGTTGCCCCGCTTACACGCGGGCGAATTAGCATTATGGAGGAATTGGGCTGTGAATGGCTGCGAAATGGTGATTCCTGCTTACAGAAGCACGCCGAATGAAGCAGAGTTATCCTAACCGTGTGTATGATTAAGTTCTCGAAGTTCTCAACGCAAGCAGTTCTCAACTCAAGTTGGGTTGAGCCTAAACCCTTGTCAGTGTAAGAAAAAGCTTGTCGTTATGGTTGTAAAATTGTTGTAAAGCCTGTCGGTGGCCCGAATCCCTGTCGTGGTAAGGACCTGGATGTTCATGTTGTTTGTAAACCTTTTGACTTCTGGATTCATTGGTTTCTGGGGGTCCATGTCTGGCAACATGCACACCCCGACGTAAAAACGCAACAAGTGCTGGCGCGATACGCCACAAACACCACGACAAAGACTGTCAAGAAGTCAGTCTCCGAACGCAAGCAGGCCCAGTGCTGAAACCCTGGGAAGCCCGTCCCTGTAATGCTCTGCCATGTCACAGCTGCTTGATGTACTCGTACTGCCAAGTTGAGGTGTTGTACCTGCTCAAAACTTGCAACTTCTTGACTTCCATGTCAACTTTGTAGATTTTTCCCAGGCCAGGTCGCCGAGTTTGCCACATTGATTCTCGCACATACGCCTGGCCCTTGTTCATACGCCCATCCTTTTCCAGGGCAACTCTCCTCAGTTGCAGACCATTGTTGCAAGTCTGGATCATGTCACGATACGAAAAGCCGAGCATCTCCAGGACATTGGCCTGGTGCCCGGTTAAGCTCTGCTCAGTGCCATAATAGATGATGGGCGTTCCGCGTGCCAAGAACACATATGCTAGCACATTCCTGATCCGAAAAGAATCGTGATCACCTCGTTGACAGCAGGGAGCTGGAGTTCTGCGAATTACTCTCAAGCATTCCAGGCATAAGTGCCCGGCAGTAGTACGTGACTCGCGCAAACTCATCGTGATTGTCGGCAAAGTTTCCGAGCAAGTCCAGGTCCTTGTAGAGGCCCGGCGTCGACTGATGTTCCAAGATGTCATACAACTTCCTGCGCCGTCATGGGGCAGTTCATCAAATGCCTATAAGCTTAAACAAGACTTATTAAAGGCTTCTGGCATGGTCTGCCATCGAATGAGCGATACACACTCGGCGTTTGCCCTGCCGTGCTCTCCGTTTTTGCGGTCTATCTGCTTGCAGACATTGTCCTCAAGTCTGGAAGCTGAGGCGTGAAGGCTCCTTGCAGGTGGTAGTTTCCCAAATCTCCGCCCAAGTGGTACTGGCAGAAACTCGCATGTACCTGCAGGGGTCGGCTTTGGCTTTTGCAGCCTGTTGCCGCGAACGAGCTGGTCCAGGTCTAGCCCAGCCTGGTAGAACGCCGGGAAATTCAGCAGCCCTGTCAATACGTCCTGGAAGCCTGCATGGTAACCTCAGGTCAGTGCTCGGCGTAGGGTAGGCATTGCAGGGTCGGCTCATGGGTTCACGTCACGGTCGGCTGCAGGACCGACTTGCCAGGAGGCTGGACTTTGGTCGTCCTCTGCTCTGCTATGCCTAGCTGGGTCTAGCTACAGCTCCAACTGCGCAGCCTTGTCTGGGCTAGGCCTTCGGCAGGAAGCCAAGGATTTAAGGGTAGGCGCTTCGATGTAGCAATCTGCAGGGTTTTTCCTTGCAGTTCTGCTGATGTTCCGTGACTGGCAATTTTTGGCATTTGTTATTCATGGTGGCCTCTTCCCACTACCTCCGCTGGCTCTCACAACGGTCGAGAAAGACACGCACTACAATCGGGCGGCCTTTAGTTAGTCTGGCGGTTCGGTATCTCCGTTTCACCACTTCGCCATTGTCGACCTGCCCGGATCTGACTGGCTGTTGAAGATGCCACCCTGACTGTGGGATACTGTTCAGAATGTTTTGGCCAGGGTGATGAGTTGTAGCGGCATTGTGCCATAACGTATGGGACAGAACGGGCGAACGAGGTCTTTGCACTTCGTCCAGCTCATACATTCATCGGGCAACTGATGTTGTTCACTGTCGTCTCACCGTAGATATCAACCCCCGCAGCTTCTTGCAGCTCCTTCCTTGGCATTACAACTTCAAGGGTCACTGATGTCGGAAGAAGCAACAAGCATCACAGCCGGCGGTGCCAGTTTACTCAAGCTACACCGGAGGACCGTTTCCAATTCAAGACCAGCGGCAAGAAGTCCTTGGGCATATAGATCGCAGTGTCAAGCCGAAATGCATCAACGTCATACTCCCTTACGAGGTACTGCACGTACTCCAACAGCTTTTGACGGACGAAAGGATTGTCCTGCCAAGTGCAGAAGACATAGACTCACGCGGAGTGGCTAGTAAGTGTCGATGTTTGATAGACTCCCCGTTTTACTCTGGTGTTGGCTGTCGCGGTCACCGTCGTCGTAGTAGTAGTAGTAG